CACACGAGAATCTTGCCCGCCGGCTCTTTCTTTGTTCCTCCTGTCTAAAAGTAGACTAGAAATATTTAGGGAGCTCTCTCTCTCTCTCTCAATCTCTTAAATACATATCATCTTCAAGCAGGAGCCGCGTCCTGCCCGGGTTTTTTTGCATAGAACAGCTCTGCGGCGAGTTCAGGGCGGCCGGCGGCCTGAGGGGACTACATTTCCCATCGCACTCTGCGGAGGCAAGCGCGACCCCTCCCTCCCTCCCTCGGCTCTTTCCGCCTGGAAGAGCCCGCCCGCTGCCCGCAGACTCTTCCAGCCATGGCGTCCGGGTGCCGGATCGGCCCGTCCATCCTCAACAGCGACCTGGCGGCGCTGGGGGCCGAGTGCTGCCGCCTGATGGACTGCGGGGCCGACTACCTGCACCTGGATGTAATGGACGGGTAACTCTACGCCAGAGGCGAGGCGGCCCCCTAACCCCTACCGCTAACCCCTAGTCCTGCTTCAGGCGGCCTCGGGCGGGGGTCGGCGCTTCCCCTCGCCCGGAAAAGCCGGCCGGGAACAAGAGAGAGCAGCGGCCGCTCTCTTCCTTTTGCGGTGAAGCCCCGCCCGACGCCCCAGTTAATTACCTTGATTTGGTAGAGTGGGAAACCCCTTCGGCTTTGAAATGGTTTGGAGAGGCTGTTTTGGGACTGGATCCTATTCCGTGAGGAGCGAGCGCAGTCCTGCCTGTTGTATCTGGTACCTAAATTGAACAGTCATGGCTTTTTCTCTGCAATTTCAAGCGCCAATAGGAGGACCGATCCTGATCATGAAAGGAGCTGTAGTCCACCCCACCAAATGGTTAAAGGCCACAACGACTACTTCCCTTTCCATAGAAAAACGCCCCTTTTCCCCTAAGAATTTCACCTCTCCCTATTTCACAAATATACCCTCCCTCTCTATTATCTGGATTTATTCTTAGATGCAATAATTCAAATAAGTCAACTCCATTAAGTTAATCTTTAATTTAGGATCAAAGCCTGGTTATGAAGACTCCCCCGACTACAGTTCTCAACCTTCTAAGGATGCATTTCAGGGGAGGAGGGAACATTGTGAGCATAGGTATCTAAGTATAAAACCTTCAGAGGAGGGGGCTTCTGACAGACAGATCCTCCTTTCTACCGGTAAGACACATTTTGCTAAACTTTGGGATTCAGGATTTCCCTACAGCCCAATGAAGACACACTAACATCAGCTTTCAGTAGTATAGAACCATTTCTCCAGAATTTTCACATAAAGAATCTTAATACGTTTGGTGTGATTTTCCTCCTCAACTGGATAGGCATTTTGTTCCAAACATCACTTTTGGCCATCCTGTGGTAGAGAGCCTTCGGAAGCAGCTGGGTCAGCAGCCCTTCTTTGGTAAGTGACTAACATTGAAATAATATGTATATTCTTTTAAGAGTATATATTTAAACTCCTAATATTGGTTTCAGAATACATGCATTATTCCTTTTCTATTTGAGAGTTGTTCTGAGCCACAAAGATGAGTTGGCTAATGAACTTCATGGCTGCTGAAGATGATCCAAAGCTCAAAAACTGTATTGAACAATATTAAGAAATCATTAGAATGACAGCAAGCATCAGAGGCCTTCAGTTAATATGTACCTGATTAGATACATACTGTATTTGCTGGCGTACAAGATGACTTTTTGGGCCCAAAAAACATGCCTCCAAATGGGGGGGGTCATCTTGTACACTGGGTGCACTTCATTTGGGCCAGGAAGGAGCTGCCGCCGCTGCCGTTGAGTGAGTGACACGGGGCTGCGCTGGCCGTGGAGGAAGGCAGGCGGGTGGGCAGGCAGGCAGGCAGGCGGTCTGGATGGAGGGAAGCACAGCCTGCCATGCCTGAGCGGCCAGAGCCCGCCCCCCCGCGCCGCTGAGCCAGCGGCATGCTCGCTCGACCGCCACCTGCCCGTTTCCTTTTTCCTCCTCCTGCCGCCACCCGCTCAGCCTCTTGCCCTCCTCCTCGCCCTCACTGCTGAACCAGTGCGCGCGCTCACCCGCCACCTGCCCGTTTCTTTTCCTCCTGCTGCCGCCCGCTCAGCCTCTTGCCCTCCTCCTCGCCCTCTCGCTGCTGAACCAGTGCGCGCGCTCACCTGCCACCTGCCCGTTTCCTTTTTCCTCCTCCTGCCGCCGCCCGTTCAGCCTCTTGCCCTCTTCCTTGCCCTCTCACTGCTGAGCCAGTGTGCTCGCTCGCCCACCACCCACCCGTTTCCCTTTTCCTCCTCCTCTTCCTCCTGCCGCCACCTGCCCAGGTTTGAAGAACTTCAGATCTCCAGAACAGAGTAAGAAGTGGTATTAAGGCCACATCTCATAATACCCAGCCATACGGTGTTCCTGTGGTTCAAACAATATTGGAGAACATTCTGTCTGCGTTTTTGTATGCATTAGGAATACCTATTTGGAGCACCAAGTCAGTAAACGGATCTTAATTCATTTTTCTGACCTTTTCGTTTTCTTTTAGATATGCACATGATGGTTGCTAAACCAGAACAATGGGTGAAACCCATGGCTGTAGCAGGTGCAAATCAATATACTTTTCACATAGAAGCGACAGACAATCCAGGGGCTCTTATTAAAGATATAAGAGAAAATGGAATGAAGGTGAGAGAAGGATGAGAGTTTACAGTTATGGCATATGTGCACAGTGATTTAATAATAACTGGTTCAACTGTTTAATATGGGAAAATGGTAAATTATTACTTATAAACATTTGCAAAAATAAAGGGCTTTATAACTAAACTAAAATAATCTGTAAATTTTTATATTTTTTGCCACTTAAAGGGTTATTGTGTAGGACAGTGCTTTCTAAACCGCTTGATAACTGAAGCAGTTTTTTGAAATAAAACTTGATGAACATTTCTCGTTATCTGATCTTTGCAACTTTTTTGAGAGTAAGGATAGCCTGTGCTAAATATGCCATTTAGATGGAATCAAATGGTGTGTACCCATTAGATTCTGTTGCTTTTGCCTAGGGAACTGGAATGGGTTCATCAACCCACACTGACCCGTTGGGAGATCTAAAACCCTCTTGTGAAAGGGCCAGAATGGAAAGTGTGTTTGGAAGGACTACTGAACTAATGAAATGTGCATAGGTGGAAAGGATAGCCTGTGACTTTTGCTTACATGAATTTTAAATTGTTTTTATTTTGGTAAAGTGGGAATTTATGCAACATACCATTCAGGATCCTGGGAATGTTTGCAATGGACTATTAAGGACTCAGTTTCAACAGGAATGATGCCTAGTGCGGTGTAGCAGATTGAGGGATGGAGTAAGATTCAAGAGATTTGGGTCTGAATCCTTGTTCAGCCATGGAAGCTCACAGGGGTGGGAGTTGGCATTGGTAAAACCACTCCTTAAATGTTCGATTTAACTTGAAAACCCTATTAGACACCCTAACTCAAATACCATTTTACAGCATATAATTCCAGAGTAAATCTGAAGATTGTAGCTTAAACGCATGCAGTTTGCACTTACTGTAATCAAAACATGCAGGTTCTGTTTGCATGCAATGATTAGTTGACTTTTTCTTTTATAGGTTGGTTTGGCTATCAAGCCAGGAACTACTGTAGAATATTTAGCACCATGGGCCAACCAAATAGACATGGCATTAGTTATGACAGTGGAACCTGGATTTGGTGGACAGAAATTCATGGAAGATATGATGCCAAAGGTAGATGTGACGCTTGTGTGATAAGGTTGATTAGAAGAATGTTTTGCATGTTCATGGTAGAATGCTGTCATATTAAATATGGATGTTTTATTTTCACACACACAGTGGGGGAACAAATTTCCTATACCTTGTTAAATGTTCTTTCTGTGCTGCTAACTAGGTCCATTGGTTGAGAACTCAGTTTCCTTCTTTGGATATTGAAGTAGATGGTGGCGTAGGGCCAGACACTATTCATAAATGTGCAGAGGTAAGTTCAAAGTGAATATTAAGATTTGAAAGCATAGGTTTCTGGTTTGAAAGAAATTCAGATGTGTCACTAATTTCAATTTTAAATCTAGGACCTAAATCTTGTCTTGGCTTTTTATCTGCTACTTTTAGAAATATTATAGTCATAGGATTTCTAAATGGGCATGCTTTGAAACCCCCCAATGTTCTTTTATTAATGAGCAATAAGAAAAGTATCATTAGAAGAGATGAATTGGGAAGTTGCTAACTATTGCATTCTCACTGAAACATAACTTTATTATTGATAATTGCAAGTACGGTATATGTAGACACATTTTTAACAAACTAGTTTTTAAAAAAAGCCTTTTTCCTGTTTCCAGGCAGGGGCAAATATGATTGTGGCCGGGAGTGCTATAATGAAGAGTGATGATCCTAGAGCTGTGATAAATCTGCTGAGAAACGTGTGTTGTGAAGCCGCTCAAAAGCGTTCTCTTGATCGATGAAATCAAGAATGTTAAAAAAGGTTGCATACCACTTTCCTATATACATGCAAATGGAATAACCATTGAGGCATTATTAGGACTGCAGCACTGAAGAGTCATTCCTCTATTACCAAGAAGGAAGCAGAAACGAGATTTTCCTGCTGACTTGGGAGTTATATTAATCGAATACTATCCCTTGACTTCAGACAGCAGTTTTGTAATACACATTACAAAAAATGGTGCTTCTTGCCTGATGATTCTATGCAGCACTGTTTTCCATAGAAGACAAATGTATTTCATTCTACATTCAACACAAATTGGTCCATTCCTTGTTCAAATGCTTGAAAATAAACAGTTAAGGTACAAAAACCCTCCCAATCATTGTAAGACTGTCCATTCTCAGGTCCAATTATGTAGGGGCACAGAGGGAAGAACAAAAGGGAGGCAGAGAAAAGATAGGAATACTGCTTGGAAATTTTAGTGTGGAAATTATCGTATAAAAACTTCTAAGTACAGAGTGTCATTTTGCAGTGGACTGCTGATTGCTGTTTAAACTTAAAGCTGTCTTCTGTTGAATTTCAGGTACTTGTACAGAAACATACAATATCATATCAATTGTTATATATATGTTTTCCAGATGGTGCCTTTCGGAAACAATTTTATAATGCAACTAATTTTAAAAAAATATACTATTCTGTCATCTGATGGTAGTATATGTAGAGTGTCTTTTGAATGAAAACAGCCCTTTTTCTCCTAAACAGAAAACTGGCCACGGCTCAGGAAGAGGTATTATTTCATTCTATGAGAATTGCTGATTTGATCATAAAAATAAAAGTTCTGCCATACCATAAAACATTCAAGTCTTCTCCCTTAAGTAGCACGTGTGGCATCAGTTACTTTCGGTAGGCTCTCCTGAGGCAGGTTTCTAATAAGGGCCATGTTTTGAAATAAAAGCCCATTGGCATTTATTTGATTTCTTTACACACTTTCTTTCAGACACCTTTCATTTCCTATCAGCTGCCTGGATCTTGACTTGCACACAAGAAATAACACCACTCTATTTGGACTAGTTTTATGTTAAAGGGTCTTTCACCTGTGTTTCAGCTTGGTCTGATGTACTTCGAGTACAAAAGTGGGAGCTACTGGGCAGGAGCAGCTAAGAGGCTTTTAAATGTATTCGGTTTTGACCTTCCCTACTTTACCTCTAGAAACAAAACAGGGTGCTCAGGAATTGTGGGGGTTGTCAGAGGACACCAAATGCCTTTTTGCACAGTTGAAAGAGATGTAGCTGGAAGTTAAATACATAAGAATATATAACATTTAATAATACATAAAGAAATGTATAACAGGCAAAATTTGTACTCTGCTTGGTTGTGAGTGGCTAGATGAATGCACAAGGAACTACAGTTCTGTGCAACACAAACTAAAAGTCTAAAAGGCTGTAGGGTAGTTTACTTCCTATGTTACCACCATCAGAAAGAAAGCTGACCAGTATGATTGCTGTTTTAAAGGACAGATTTGAACCCTCATTGCTGGTTGTGGAGTAGTTGTTGCTTGATTTTAAGAGAAAATAACAAATTTCCTATAGAGTAGAACCCCTGTATCTGCAGGGGATCAGTTCCAAGTCGTGTCTCCCTCCCCCAATACTGGAAAACACTGATTATAGTGAATGCTATAGACAGCATGATGTCTGGTTCCCTCTTGTGACCACTTCTTATTTGTTATTTATTTATTTATTTTATTTATATCCCGCCTATCTGGTCAATAGACCACTTCCGGTACTGACATGATGGAAATATATTTCTTTAGCAAATTCTGGTCTCTGGCTCTCTAGTGGTGAGTTCTGGTAACATCAATGTACCCTCTTAATATTTTTCTCGCACGGTTTTGCCCCTGTATGCTGGATTCCATCGCAACTGGAACCTAACAAAATTGTTTTGCAGAGAAGACAGCTAGAGGGAAGCAGAGTTGTGCGTGCATGTGCCCAGCTTAGCAGAAACTTTGCTCATAGTTAAAAATATATATTTGGGGGACTTCTTTTCTAATATTTTCAGACTGGATAAATTAATCAGCATATACTAATACTGTGGATAAGAAGGTCCTACTGTATATAAAACACAAATGCTTTTTGTTTGTCTCTAAGAAAATAGTTTTGGTCAGATCCTAATTGTGTACATTTTATGAAAAAAATGACATTTAAGTACTAGAGGGGAAAAATTGGGACGACAATGTTGGAACAGGAGATATCAAGTCTACTTCTGACTTGTAGAAGTACAAATTCAAGTTTATGAAAGGCAAAACTGCCCTCCAAGCACAGTCAAAATGACCAGTGTGTTTGGGGATGATGGAAACTGGAATCCATCACTACCTCAAGAAACATGTGTTCCTTGCCTGTGGAATATGTCAAAGGATGCTGACACAAACTGGGACACGACAACATCAATGGAGCCAAACCAGTTAATACATCCTTTAAAAGTCCTTCCACCAAAACCTTTTCTGTTCTCAGCAATTCAACTGCATAAACTATTTTGAAAAGCAGTAAGGATGTATATTTTTAATCATGGAGCTACATTGTCTCTCACATTGCTACAAGTAACTAACCCCCACCCCAAAGTAGCACACATACAAGAAAGAATTGGTGCTCTCATAATCTATCATAGATTATGTAAACATCCAAAAACAATCTAACAATCTAATACCGTAACCATGATCTGTGATGTTTGTATATAAAGCCTGAGCTCCCAAAACGACAACACTTTGCGCAGTTCAACTTCTTCTCAGGCATCGCAATCCATCAACACCATTCCGTAGTGTACAGAAATAGATTTTAATTTTTAAAAGCCTGCACTGAAATTACTATATCAGAGGCAAGATTCAAGTTTAATTCTGTGGACAAAAAGCATTTTAAAAAAAACCAAAAGTTGCAGTAAACTACAATCTAACATAGGCTGTAGTGTTGAAATGCAACCGAACATTTGTTGCAGTATTCAGTGTCCTTCTGCTCCGTGGGGGTTACTAAATTTGGGTCATCTATCCATCGTAGTTTAGTTCTGGATATGACGTTAAATAAAAACTTGGTTAACAACTATGCTTTTTCAAATGGCTTCAACAGTTTTTCACATAAGAGCTCTCCTCTTAACCACAGCTGGTACCTGCACTGAGTGTGGCTGGCAGTTTTATTTATTATTTTATTTGTTTATTTAAGTTATATGCCGCCCACTCTAGTCGAAGGTCTCTGGGCGGCTTACAACAGTTTTATACTGTTATCGAGCACAGCCTTGTAATGAGCGTTTTATTGTGTACATAGCCCACTGAAAGATGCAGATAGCATTCAAAACAGCTGTTTTGGAAATCTGGCTAGGTTTTCTCTTTCCATATAAAATTATGCTTTTTGTAATGCTGGCATTTAAACAAACAAATATTGTCTATATTTTAGCATAAGTTATGGAATAAATGCTCATAATCTGCTTAGTTTTTGTAGATACCTGGAAAGGATTTTTTTAAATAATAAAAATATTAGTAGTAAAAATGCTAAATTTCTCCTGTAATAGAGAATTCAAATTGCCTAATCCCTTCCATTCTTTGCTGTCAAAAACTGAAATGGGAACCACTGTGAAATTCAGGAAAATCAATTATTTAAATTAATCTGAACTCCTATATAGTTCTGGATTTCTCTCTAAGAAAAGAACGGGATATGTTTCACATTATCAAACATATAAATGCTGATTGGTCACTGGGCTAAACATGTTCTTTGAAAGGGCAGTACACTTGTGTACTTAAGTCACTCATATGTAAACACCTGCTAGGCAGCTGCTTCTGTGCACATCTAAAACCATTGCAATGCTAAGTGCAGGAAAACCCATCATGTTAAGATGTACTACAGCAATACATACACACAAAGTCATCCTTCCAGTCTTTCATAGTATGACAACAAATGTTAGAAGCCGTTTAAGAGCATCCTCTTCTGACAGCAAAGATGTTAGACCTTCAGAGTGAAAACATTCTTTGTGTGCTTCAGGTAAAAAAAGAAACTAGTTTTAGGTTCTTATCCTGCCTATAAAAAAGGAAAAAAGAATGTGTTATAAGTACAAATAATATGAGGCAGACTGCTATTTTTTGTATGAGCACAAAAATATTTTACCTTACACATTTCGTGATGCTAATTAGTTTTCTTAATGACCACAGCATTTTGTGTCACGTCTGTTTTCTCATGGTGCCAATTCCCAAAGAAACTTGGCTATCTTCTTCCAGTTGGTGTGTATTTGGAAAACGGAAGGCAGCACAGGAAGTACAATCAGAGTCACTCAGAATGGCCACATTTGAGCTTTCTTGTGGAGCTGTTATCTGATACTGGAATGTTAAAGTGTCTGTGTCCTTATCTTTTAATGGAAAGACTCGAGGTTCCCACAGAATTGACTGAAAGGAATGAAGAGAGACATTTTGCTGAAAATCTAGCAAAACGTGTCAGTCCTTATAGTAATATACTCTTTAGATGACATCTGACAGAATAAATTTTCAGCAGGACTTGCTTAACACATCTAACATGCTTTACAAAATCTCAAAAGCTTCGTCATAACACTGACACTTAAAACTTAGAAGTGCTTCACATATCATTTCTAAAATGCTTATCACAGCCAAGGTAGACCACTGCCTTGACATCTTCATGGCTACAGCAAAGTTTAAGCCAGAAAACCTTCAATGTAGGCATAAGGCCAGACTTTGGTTTGTGCAAGGGGTTTTTCACCACCCAACCTTGTGCAAGTGGAAGCCCCACTTGCTTTGACTAAGTGATCTCTAGCTTTTGCAGCTGCAAGCCACTGATTGAGGGGCACCCACAAAACAGTTTGGTTTTGAGATTTCCAACAAGATTCTGGCCTACATGGGTGTATATTATCACCACTTCCTATAGTAACTGGTTTGCAACAAAGTAAAGCAATAAAGATATTGTGATATAGAAAGCAGTTTTAGTTCAATTTGTTAAACATATTTTAAAAATAGCCACGATGCTGTCTTCGAAGTATGATACAACACATGACAGCTAAGCAAAAAATGTTCATTAGTATTTATGAGAAGCAGAATTTTATCTTTTCTCCTAATGTCATGGTGACCCTTCAACTCCACAGAAGTAAACAAACTTGGATATTATGGATTGTATATTCACCCTTGCTTCATGAGTTCCTTCTGAAGATTGTGGTGCTCCCAAGTACAAAGAACTGCAGATTTCTGGAGTAATGTCAGCACTGTTTTCTGAAAAATGTGTTGTTAAATCAGAGTTGACCTGTTTTTCTTTTTGTGCCAGATCCTGTACCTCAGAACTTCTACTGTTTGATCTATAATGAAATAAAGGAAATGTTAGCTTCATTTTCTTCAAAAGAAAAATAATTAGATGGAAAAACAAGTTGTTTGCTTGTAACTGCAGTTCTTTGAGTGGTCATGTATGCAGTCACACATATGGGACTTTGTGGAATCTTACATTATTTATTTAAAATACAGTGGTGCCTCGCTTAGCGATCGCTCCGTTGAGCGACAAAATCGCTTAGCGACGGGGTTTAAGCGATCACAAAACTGATCGCTTAGTGATGGTCCCTATGGGTGAATTTCACTTTGCGATGATCGCGGGGAAGAGATCATCGCAAAGCGCCCATTTTCGGCCAGCTGATCGGCGGTTTCAAAATGGCCACCAGAAAAACAAAATGGCCGCCTGCTGTGTTGCCTCGCTTTAGAGGCACTGAAAATGGCCACTCCGATGGAGGATTTTTGCTTAAGGTTAGTTTTTAAGCCCATAGGAACGCATTAATGGCGTTTTAATGTGTTTCTATGGGCTTTTTAAATCCGTTTAGCGATTAAATCGCTTAGCAACGTTTTTTCCTGCATGGATTAATGTCGCTAAGCAAGGCACCACTGTATTTCTATCCTGCCTTTCTCCCCAAAAGGACCCAAGGTATCCACTTGCACTTAGACATTTTTGCAGGAGTCCCATCCACAGCTAGGCTTTATGATTATCCCAGGCTTCCACCCCATCCCTCAGTTCTATTCTCTCCTGCAACAGCAGAAGGCACAACAAAATGAAGGATGTGAACAGTAACAAGGAGAGGAGGATGATTTGTGAGTGTACAGATGACAACTGAAAGAGCCACAATCACAGGTGAGCAATGTGTAACTCTTTGTGACCTTTGTAATAAACACATATGGGTGACTGTACCACCAACTCAGCAGGAGAAAGACTCTTCACAGAAGTACAGAAGAGAGAACTGAGTATCGAAAGGTAGTAACTCACACAGTATGAACATAAAACTGATAATGCTTGGGAAATATAGAAGGGTTGTGGCCTAGTGGCTACCCCACATATTGCATCAAGAGATACTCTACTGATCCATACACCTGATGCTTCAACAAACTTGTTGGGATTAGCACATATAGTACAGAGGGATGGATTTGACAGATGCACTGGATTGTGAATGCCACCCATTTGGATAACCACTGAGAGGAGACCAGCTGTCCTTTTCCTGGGCTAGTGTAGGATAAAAATAAAAAGGGAAGTAACCCAGTAGCAATGGGTTGTATCTACGTAAAAGGCTAAGGCCTGCCTGACCAAGAAAGGAGAAGGTATTTGAGGGGTCCTGTACTATGCAAGGAATGTGACAATTTTTTGGAAGCAATGCCATTTGTGACTGTCAGATCTCCATGTGGAGAGCTTATGGGTAGATCTCATCACTTGGATAAACTCTGGAGAGTTAGTATCAGGGTAATTAGCTAAGTTGTGAGTTGTATTGTGTGGAGGTCCAGACGATAAAAGCAACTATCTTTCTGGAATAGATCACCAAAGTGGGCAGTAAACACTGACAAATAGAGAAGACATATGAATCTAGTGTGCATTGGCCACCTCGGGGTTATTAACATGCAGTATACAATATGTTGTTGTTCTTCATCTTTATCAGAGTCCTAGAGACAAGTGGAAGTGGATGAAAGAGGTAAAGGAGTGAACCTGTTCAGAAATAGAGAAAATTATATGCTTTGTCCCTTTCAAATAGAAGCAGCTGCACTGAACATATTGAGGGGAAGCAAACAGGTCAACTGCAATTGTCCATACTTGTGGAAGTGTAGTAAATATTAGCTTGTTTTAAGTTAGTTAAAATATATTAACCAAGAAAGTAAGCAAAGGGCAAGATATTCAAGTGGGAACATGGAGAGGGAGATAAACAAGGAGAAATGTGCTGATCCTCACAGCTGGCTGGGAGAACAGCAAAAGATTTACAGTGGGGTCTTGACTTGAGAACTTAATCCGTATTGGAAGGTGGTTCTCAAGTCAAAAAGTCTGTAAGTCAAGTCTCCATTGACCTACAGTGCATTGAAAACTGATTAATCCCGTAACAGCCCGTTTTTGTTCCATTTTGGTTTTTTTCTGGTCTGTAAGTCAAATCTCAGTCTGCAAGTCAAACCTAAATTTTGCGGCCAGAGAAGTCTGTAACTCAAAAAGACTGTAAGTCAAACCGTCTGTAAGTCAAGGGTCCACTGTAGAAGTAACAGTGGGAATGAGACACATAAGTAATCAAAGGAAATTAGTTCAAAGCAAACTTAGAATGCAAGAAATGTGTACCTAGGGAATATGAATGCAATGTGTACCATATATACTCACAACAAAGCAACTGCAACCATGTGTTATCATTACAAGAGATAATAAAGCAACTGTAACCATGTGAAATCATTATAAGAGCTAATTAATGTATGTAGGGCAGTTTTCATCTATATAAACGGTGTAGAAAAGTCATTCAGAGAGGCACTGATTTGGACTCAGAGGTCTCATGTGCTTCCATTCTGTGTAGAATAAAGCTTTTAGCTGGTATGTTGTGCTCTATCTTTCTCTTCCCTCTTTTAAGCTTGTTTGAAATTTTGCCTGCCTAAGGTAATGAACTTGCAAGTTTCTGCAACAGAAGGGTTGGTGTACCATCAGTTTAGAGAGCTGTCATTCATGAGACATGCAACAGGCACGTCTGAGGTAATCTGCTACAGTATTGTCTCCCAAAGATAAAAGGTGAGGTGATGCTTCTGGAGGATGTACTAGTGCCAGATATGCAGAGAGAGTTGAAGGAGCGTGAACAGTGTTACGCTACCTTGTTTTCTGAAACACTACATAACAGTGGTGTTGTCCATGAAGACTTAAACTGTGGCCAAAGAGTAGAGATTTGGACAATGTGAACACTTTCCATACCTCCCTCTTGACAGGCAGACCCATCAGTGTGGATACACAAGGCCATGAGTAAGAACCTGTGACTGGAAGTACTTAGTTGCCCCAAGCCTGCCTGAATAAAAAGATATTTGCCTGCTGGTGGAAGGACAGCAGGGAGAGGGCAAACCTCTCATGATACAAGGGGTTCCAGAGCCCAGGAGCAGCCACAGAGAGGACCCTCTCTTAAGTCCCTGACAAATGGGTCTCTGAATAGGTAAGATCATGAGAAGGGCATCTTTAGGAGATCTCAAAGCTAGAGCAAGCTTGTACAAATAATGTTTTTAAGATAATCCAGACCCAAGCTGTACACAGCTTCTAGCGCACTAGTCCGTAAGTATACTTTCTGTGATGTTACAGTTCCTATTTGCTGAGTCTGTTCTGAAGGGCAGTACTGTATTGTAGTTATTGTTCCCTGACTAACTGTACTGTAGTGTCTCAGAAGGCCCTGTTCAGTTTCTATGTAACAACTTTTAGTACACTCCTGGATATGCTCTGCTAGACACTCCTGACAAATTAGTTCTTGGATGAATGGTGAAGTTTACAGCTCTACTGAGGAGACATTCAGAAAGTCCAAGAATCAGGGACATTTCATCCATATCTGAGCTCACAGAACAACTTCTGTCTTGTGCTTCCTAATCATTTTTGGAACAGAGCAGGAATGCATGCAACAGCCTTGTGGCCTTTTCACCCTAAAATAATCTATAGTCTCTGTTCTTCTACTATGGCCCCTTTTACTGCACTTTTGCATTTGCCCAATGTTTATGTCTGATTATGTACAAGGGTCTAGAACAATCTGTAAATAATGGAAATCCTACTTGCCTGGGATACTAACAATGCAAAAAGTCTGATTGTTCAGAACAGAAACCAGATTTTTTAAAATAAAGAATTAAAATTGGAAAGTTCAGAGTGCTGGAAGTTCACATCTAATAGCAAATTCCAGGCTGAATCCTACTTAGGTTTGTTGTACTTAAGTAAAATGCTTTGAAATTAATGAGATTCATGTTCTAGTGCACAAAGCTGATTTAGACATACTATGTATTTTGCACATCTCTGTAGAGCAAAAACTGCAATCTGGGACTTATAGATAATAACAATAAATGTGTGCCATCAGGTCAATTTTGACTTCTGGTGACCCTCTTAAAGGTTTTTTAGGTAGATAGTAGTCAGAAGTGGTTTGCCATTCCCTTCTGGGGGCATCCTGGGACTGTATGGCCTGTTTAAGACCACACAGTCTTGCTCTATTACCTTGACAGCAGGGAACTGAACTCCTGACCTCTGGCTCCACAGCCAGATACCTAACTCCCAGTCAGCTACAGAGATAGATAAGGTGCTAAAAATAAAATTATTCCGACAAATTGGGAAATAAGGAGCGTGCTCATAAGTCAGCTTTAGCATGCTTCTTATTTCCTAACTTTTTAAAAAATTGTACACAGTAAGTTAATGCTATAAAAATATGAGTATTTGTAACAGCCACCAATTACAAAAGACTCATTTAGACCCAAATACTAGTATCTCCTCACTGATAGCACAAGACAAGCCACAGATGTGTCAAAAAATCTGACTGGGATTTTTCACATCAAAGGCTGTATCAAAAGATAACATACCAGAGAACCCCCAAACACTTCTAAAAGAAAACTGTAGTTTCAAATATTGGGAATACTGTGAGGACCAACTTTGCAGGATAAAAGCTGGGCAGCATCATACAATTAGCGGTGGGATAGTCATTCTGAAAGTCTTATTTTCAACCAACCTATTCCTTCTTGGCCACTGACTTTGCTCCCACAGTGACCATCGAGCTCTTTCTTTGTCTTCATACTTTGCATGGCGTGCAGCATAGTTCTCATCAGACAGATCCTCCACCTAAATATTAAAAATGCCAGATTACAAAAGTAGTTAGAGCAAAGTATACTTATGTTTTTTTTTAATCCTTTAACATGCAACAGATATGATGGTAACAAGATGCATTTATAATGAGCCATAAATAAAATGCTGTCCCGCCTCCCCTCAACACTGCAGCATAGACAAGAGCAGTTTTTATTGTGTTGTGTCATCAAGTCTCTTTCAACTTATTTTAACACTATGGATGAGTGAACTACAAAATATCCTTTCCTCAAGAGCTCAAGCGCAGCTCTTGTAACCTCAAGCCTGTGGCTTCCATTATGAAGTCAATCCATCTTAAATTTGTTCTTCCTCTTTTCCTAGCATTATTACCTTTCCCAGTGAATCCTGTTCTCTCAAAATGCACTAAATTATGACAGCCTCAGTTTTGTCATTTTTGCACCTATGGAGAATTTAGGTTTGATTTTATTTGACTGGGAGAACATATAAGACATTTTTTGAAAAACATTTTGTGCTAGCAAAATTAATTATATAATTAATATAATACCAGGTTGTCCCAGTCAAATGGGTAGCTCATATATGTGCTCTTTCTCTTTTATTTATTATATTATAGCTCCTGAAGAAGGTTAAAAGTGAAATAGCCGAAATGTGTTGGGCTTATCTTTGAATAAAGTACTGATACCCGTTTTTACATTCTGGGACCACAGTCTCTCTTTGCTTGACAGCTTCAGTGGGTGTACTGTCCTTTTTGTTCTTGTTTCATTATAACTACTGGTGTGGAATGGGAAGAATTATGCAGAATGCACAAGAAACTGATAAGAAGTGAGGTACATGCCTCTACTTTATTAGAATACTGCTGTGTACAAAGGATTCCAAGGGGTCTTAGAATATTAAAAGAGCCAGGCATGTGCAGAGATAACCATGAATTTGTGGGAAAATGGAATGCAATCCTCAATAAATGCTCCCAAGATTTGATGATATTGATTATTGAAACATCATCTAAAATCAACAAAAAATTAGGAAAAAAAAACCTCTACAGGAGAACATGGACAGATACAAACAACATCTAATCAAAGAGGGGGAAAAAGGATACTTGTAGACAAGGAACTCAAAGATTTCTATGAGGAATTGAAAGCATTTAAATATAAGAAGTTTCTTAGGGATTAAGGGGATTACATCTCCAAAAAAGTCTACCCTTGGCAATATAAAAGATCGAAAAAAGTTTCATTCCATTTGGAAGATAACTCTACAGGTTGATATACAGACCGGGAATCAGGAGCAGAGGGCAGTAGTGATACAGATACCAGGCATGGATCTTTTTTGGAAACAGATACAAGGCACAACAAACAAAAAAGATACAGAACAATGAAAACAGCCTCCCCTCCCAGCAGATCCAAGAGAGGCCTACGGTAGTAAATCTTTCTCATTAAGTGTTGAATGAGACAGAATTAAAGGTTTTAGAAAAAGGCTTATTTTTTGTACCTACTCCCAGACATGACATAAGACATAAGACATAAGAAATTTATTTGTCATTGCGCTCACAAGTGGGTGCAACGAAATGAGGTGCTCTTCCCCAAGGTAAAACTGGACAACACTACAAAAAAAAGTTAAAATATACACAACTTTCACCATCCAAATATAGATACCCCGTTTTCTCTCAGCAATTAAAATTCCACCAAAAACCTATGGCCCCGCATTTAAACTCAATACTGCACTTGGGTAAAAACTGTTCTTGAATCTGCTTGTCCTTGCTTTCAATACCCTGAATCTCCTTCCTGATGGTAATAATTTAAAGAGCTGATGTCCCGGATGAGAGGAGTCTTTCAGTATGTTAGATATCTTCCTCTTACATCTGTTCTTATACAATTCTTCCAAAGAGGGGAGTGAACAGCCAATGATGTTTTGGGCTGTCTTAATCACCCTTTGAATTGCCTTTTTCTCTGCCACTGTGCAGCTCGTGAACCATACACAGAGACAGTAGGATAATATGCTCTCAATCGAACTCCGATAGAAGGTGATCAGTCAATTGTTGCTTTCTAAGAATCCTTAGAAAATACAACCGTTGTTGTGCCTTCTCCACAGACAGATAGAATCTGGAAAATCAAGATCTTTAAGTTTGTCTATTAATCTGTGGGGTATAATGGTGTTAAAAGCAGAGCTAAAGTCCGCGAACAGCATTCTTACATAATTCCCTTGTGTTTCCAAGTGGGATAAAGCCATATAAAGCACAGTATTGATCGCATCCTCGGTTGATCTATTTTCTTTATAAGCAAACTGAAGCCCATCAAAGGGATGAGGAAGGCAGGAGATAATATATTTCCGAACTAACTGCTCAAAGCACTTCATTAAGATTGAAGTTAGTGCCACCGGCCTGTAGTCATTCGGACTGTTTGTAGGCAACTTTTTAGGCAGTGGAACGATGACGGAAGCCTTGAGACAGACGGGAACTGCGCATAGTGTCAGGGATCTATTAAAAATTACAGTCCATATCCCGGCTAGCTGATCAGCACAGTCTTTTACCACCCGACCAGGAATTAAGTCGGGTCCAGCTGCTTTTCTGGAGTTAACCACTTTCATAGTCTGTCTCACATCCTGCTCATTCACAATGAAGGGGGGACTCTGCTGAGTAAATGATGGCAAACGAACAGTTTCAGTTTGATCGATCTCGAATCGAGCAAAAAAGTTGTTCAACTCCTCAGCCACCTCCACACCTCCGCCTGAGGAAACCTTTTTTGCTTTGTAGTTTGTTAGTTGTTGAACCCCCTGCCAAACTTGCCTCATGTTATTGCTGAGAAAGCAGTCTTCAATTCTCCTCTTGTATTCGGCCTTAGCTTGCTTAATGCCTCTCCTCAAGTTCGTTCTTGCTGCACTGTAGTCTAGATCATCCCCAGACTTAAAAGCCTTATTTCTAGCATACAACAGGCGTCTAACCTTCCCGGTCATCCAAGGTTTTTGATTGGGATAAACCCGGATACGTTTATCCACTGTGACCGTGTCAATACAGTGTGCCATATACCCTAACACTGCAGCTGTATGTTCTTCCAGATCAGGATGGTCAAAAACTTCCCAATTCGTTTGTTCAAAACAGTCCTTTAACTGCTCCATTGCTCCCTCCGGCCAGCTTTTCACTGTCTTGACTACTGGCCCTGACTGTTTTCTCAGAGGAATATACTCCGGAGCTAAAAACAGGGACATATGGTCAGACTGGCCCAAGTGTGGCAATTGTAATATCCTGTATCCATTTGCAATATTCGTGTAGACCTTATCTAAGGTGTTCAGCCCCCTAGTAGCACACCTTACATGTTGATGGAATTTGGGGAGGACTGCACGTAGATCTACATGATTGAAGTCTCCTGCAATAATGTATACAGCATCCAGAAATTTACTTTGCAAGTTGCCAATTTCATCGCCCAGATGACCCAGCGCCAAATCCGCATTTGCATCCGGCGGAATATAAACAACAAGAATAATAACAACACTGAATTCCCGTGGAAGGTAAAAAGGTCTGCATTTAACAGACAGATATTCCAGCTCCAAAGAGCTATGACGTGTTATAATCTCTGAGTTTGTGCACCAGCTCTCTCTAACAAACACGCACAATCCTCCTCCTCTGCACTTCCCCACATTCCTGTCTCTGTCTCAGACCGCACACAGACTAGATTAGACCTATTTTGCTTTTACAGGAATATAAAATTACGACAATACTTTAGCAAATCAGTTTGTGACCAATACATGGAAAACTATTTTTCAAAGTCAGTCTTCATTCATGCCTCCAGGTAATTCAGATCCCTTTATTATTACCTATGAGATATTAGTTTTAAAAGATCTAGAAAAATTAGAAAAATCTGCTAAATCTCCTTGGCACAATATGAATAAAATAGAAACGTGTCCCCTCAGAGCTCTTTCCCAAGATCCATCTATTATAATAAAACGAACAGATAAGGATGGTGCCACGGTTATCCAAAATACAGCAGACTATAGACAAGAGGTCCTTAGACAATTGTCAGATACTTCAGCCTACAAAGTATTTATTTATTTATTGGATTTTTATGCCGCCCATCTAGACCAAAGGTCTACTCTGGGAGGTTTACAAATTTAAAAACAATAAAACCAATAAGCATATATTATAAATCCAAGGTGGTGAAAGTATAAGAAATTAAGATACGGCATGAGGGAAGGCCTGCCCAAATAGCCAGGTTTTAAGTTTATTCCTGAAAATACCCAGAGAGGGAGCCAGGCAGATCTCCACTGGCAAGTTGTTCCAAAGGCAAGGGGCCATTGCCGAGAAGGCCCAGTTCCGCGTTCTTTCCTTCTGGACCTCCCTTGGCGTTAGGCCCCTCAGCAGCCCGGGCTCGCTGGGTGACTCTGGCAGAACTGGGTGGGAGGAGGCACTCTGCCAGATATCAAGGTCCTAAACTGTTTAGGGCTTTATATACAATCATAAGAACTTTGAAATCAACGAGGAAACGAATGGGCAGCCAATGCAAGGTGGCCAGAGTGGGGGAAATATGATGATACCTTTTCACCCCTGTAAGAAGTCTGGCCGCTGCATTCTGTGCCATCTGAAGTTTCTGCGTCAGTCTCAAAGGCAGCCCCATGTAGAGACCATTACAGTATAATCTTGAGACTACGAATGCATGGACCAAAGTGGTGAGCACCCCCACATCAAGGTAAGGACGCAGCTGGGCAATCTGCCGAAGGTGGAAATGGGTGGAACGGACCACTGACGACACCTGGGTCTCCATGCTGAGCAGTGGGTCCAGATGTACACCCAAACTGCGAACCTCACTCTTGGTGGTAAGAGTCACACACACACACACACACACACACACACACACACACACACAAACAAAAGGAGAGGGAGTTTCCCAGACCATTGATGTCTGGGACACTCACCCAAAGCACCTCCGTCTTGCCCGAATTCAGCCTCACCTGCATCCACTGCTGAACAGCCCCCAGGCAGTGCTCAAGGGATGAAACAACATCACTGTTTTTGGAAAAAAAGATGTAGAGCTGAGTATCATCAGCGTACTGATGACACAAAGCCCCACATCCCCTGATGACCCATCCCAGCAGCCTCATATAGATGTTAAATAGCATTGGGGAGATAACAGAGCCCTGTGGAACCCCACAAATGAGGCTCCACAGGGCTGAGAAACTCTCTCCAATCTGCACTCTCCAGGGACAGTTGTCCAAGAAGGAATGGAGCCGGCAAGAGCCAGGTCACCGATTCCCAACTTGGAGAGCCTCCCCAGGAGAATACCGTGGTCGACAGTATCAAAAGAGGCTGAGATATCGAGAAGGACCAGCAGAGACATTTTGCCCCTGTCGGCCTCCCTCAGCAGGTCAGCGTACAGGGCGACCATTGCCGTCTCTGTACCGTGGCGCGGCCTGAAGCCCGACTGAAACGGATCCAGGGCATCTGTCTCATCCAAGTGGGCTTGCAGCTGATCGGCCACCACCCTCTCGACCACTTTGTTCATGAAAGAAACATTGGCGATGGGCCTATAATTGCCCATTTCGTCTGCCGCCAAACTAGGTTTCTTTCTTATGGGCCTAATGAGTGATTTCCATCTGCCCTCAAGGAGAGACCCATTTATTATTACTGTGGCCCATTCTGTTGTTATCGGCCTGGCTGCTTTGATTAGCCAGGCCGGGCAAGGGTCAAGGGAGGAGGTGGTGGCTCGACAGCGATCAAGCACCCTGGCCACAGAGTCAGGCGTTACAGGCTGAAGGGAATCAAAAATAGCCGGGCAAGATGGAGCGCTGGACATTTCTGCTCGACTCACTGTATTTAAAAAAGGAGAGAGCTCCCGGCGGATGGCCTCCATTTTAGATTTAAAGAAGGCTGCAAACTGGTCAGGTGAAAAACTATGGGGAGGCCTATCACCTGAGCCAGTTCCGGATAGGTCGCGTACTATACAGAATAACTCCGCCTGCTGGTTGGACGCTTCGCTTATCCGGTTAGCGAAGAATGATCGACATGCAGCCTTTACCCTAGTCAGATAAAGGTTAGTTGCGACCCTAACAGCTATCCAATTATAATCCATCGGGTTCTTCCTCCACCTATGCTCTAGCCTTCTCCTATATCGCTTCATCGCTTGAACCAGGGTGCAGGCCGAGCTCTGAGCAGGAGAGGGCGTTTAGGTGCGATCATGTCTATAGCCCTAGTGGCAGCGATGGACCAGCTGTCAACCAGAGCCTCGACAGGAGCGCCAGCCAGGTCAGCTGAAACACCTCTCATGGCCTCCTGGAATCCAACAGGATCCAGTAGCCTTCGAGGGCGGACCATAGAAATAGGTCCCTGCTCCCCACGAGGCGGGAGTGCCACTGAGAGGTTACATTTTATTAGGTGGTGATCTGACCATGACAAGGGGACC